AGTATAGCAGACCATCTGAACGCTAACTCTGTTGGCTGCTACATGCCCGTTCCTCCCAAACCGAGACCCAGAACTCCTGCAGCATAGTCCATAGCTTCTAACGGTCATAGTAGCCACCCGTCTCTTAGCAACGTAACCATCTCTCTGGCTGATGGTCCTACCCTTTTCCAAAACTTCTGTTTTGCCAGGGCCCGATGACCTGCTATTCCGTTTTCTGAGACGTGGTGGTCAAGATCATAAGGGTAAAGCGGTGCTTTCTTTGAGACTATCACACTAAGTTCTTTCGTCGAATTGTCAGATCTAGCCGTTAATTCGGCAATATACCGGACCTTTCGGTTTAATGCCACTCAGGGTTTGCGCAGGGATTTACACAGTAAATGGCACAAAAGGATTATGTAGCTAAAGTTCAGTGGTGCAAACGTACGGACGACTTCAGCGGTTATTCGCGTGTAGTTGTTTACATTTGGGTAATATCTGACTGCATGTGAGGAAGCTTTATTAGAACTATTCAGTTATCTGCGATAGTCTATTTCTTGTAACCTTGTAACCTGCTCAGACTTCCCAAGGTTCAATAGTTATTGCCGGATCGTGTCGTCAGTAGTCAGGAAATAGAGTTTGTAACAGTGTTTTTGGTGCGCAGGTTAGATCTAGAACACATTTCATACTGTAAATCCTCAGCTGCTCTTGGAATTGCTAACTTATATGTTAAGCAGCCATTTCCCGGAGTGAACGCTGTTGGTCCATTACGACTTTAAACTTTGATCATCTTCACGACAACGGGTGCTTCATAGTGTGGAATTAGTGGGGCTCTGTTGCACTATTTCCCAAGCGGTTCAAAGAAAGCAGTTTGTCATCTATCTCGTTCACCGTCTTTGATGGATGATCTTCTATTATATACCGTAAGGTCAACTTTTCCGTTTACGCAGACCACAAACCACTGTTGACTATATCTGAACCTTAAAAAAAATCCTCCGATCCATGATATCACTTACATCCATTGCTTTGCTGCTAGACCTATGGGTTACAAGTTGTTTTCAAAAACCAACGTCAACTTTCGACCATGCTGGATCACCATTGCCTCCAATCTATCAGTAAAACCTCAACCAAAGAGACAAAGATACAGTTATTGGATCAGTCACAACCACAGACGAAGGCCAGCAAATTGTTTCCCAATCTCCTCAGTAATGATAAAATCTGCAAGCACTGTTTATACTTCACACATAGTCCTCTCTAGATTGAAAATGCTACGAACTGGAATAAAACCACAAATAATATTTACAGTGTTGTATTACGCTAATCTGAACACAATAAAGCTGCGCAGCATGTATAATGAAAACAGGGTAAAACAGAAACGATGAGATCTGGAACTGGAATCGTTTTTCGTCGGTTGCTTTTGTCTTTCTTTTTTGGGTGATTTCCATGAATCCTTCGAGAGAACCTTGTTTGGAGAGGCCACAACTTTTGGCACGTTGATATCGTATGGTGTTTGTCTATCAGGTTCAAGGCTCATACCATTTCTGGACTGATTTCTTCTCGAAGCGATGACACTGAAAACCACAGATATCATTCTATTTTCTGTTTCAAAGCGTTTTTAAGAGAAAGTTTTTGGTTGGCTTTGACCGTCTATCCAATCTCTTATCTATTTTTATTAAGCCAAATCACACAACAGTTCAGTTTTGTAGCATCTGGACAGAATTTGCTGTGTGATTTTTGTTAAGTTGGACACCTTTAAGTCACGATTATCGCAACAAAGGATCTCTATGTGATTTTCAGGGACAATAGTGTTATTGTTATCATTTCAACACTAGACATATCTAGGGGTTTTCAATATCACACGTATCACAATTTAGGAAATCAAGTGAACACTGAGATTATACTACTGATAATAAAACACTGATCAATAGGAAGTATTGGATACCCTGGAAACTTCAAAACTTGCAATAATTTGTGGGTAGTCCTTCGATATGAGGAGAAGATTTCTTACAAACTGAACATTTTTCATGTTATTTTGTACGAAATTGCGGCTATAATGATTTTAGTGACTAATATTTCCAGAAGTGACTAAAGCGCAATACAGTCTCCTACGCTTCTTTGGTGTCTTCATTCATTCTTAACGAACGGGTCATGAGGAAATGTAAGCTTTACATAAAGACAATTTTAGAGCTATCTAGCTACAATGGGGGACTAGTTCCAAACACTTCATTTGTGTTTCCTCCACGAGGACATGTTCAAGTCGATCTACCAGTGAAAGAGACCTGTAGGGCGAAGGGAACCACAGTTCATTTTGTAAAAAACAGCAGGTATAGTCATTCTATTACTTAGAAAGATGCTTCTTTGAGTTCTAGAGAGAACGCACATTTCTATGGTATTTGATGCCATCATGAAAAGGCGAAACGAAAGTTCTAAAGTGAGCATTTCTGATAATTTTGCAAGTCATGTAAGTTGAATTTTAACAGAGGATTAACTAACCTGAGAAAGTAGCTTACTGTTTAAGAGGCACATTTGTGAGTTGCCTTTAGTAACCAGTAATCAACGTCCAGGCAACAAGGAATCTACCAGCGTTATTGGGAAAATAAAATGTGCTTCGTTCGATAAAAACAATAAAAGCTGTTAGGGAAAAATGGAAAATGTAACGCACATATGGAGCACTCACGTGGGACTAAAATCCTCAATTCTGATCCAGACGTTTTCAAAATTTACGAATCTCGGACGGAATTCAGGGAGTTCATACTCGTTTAAAAGCTCTTCACTGTTAGTTTGTTTTCGTCTGTTCCTTCAACAAAAGAGAATGAGAGTAGGGTTTTCCTAGTACCATCAGGTATTTCTGGCATGGTAACTGTTGTGTTTGAGAAAAAACAGTCAAAAGCTAGATAGAGGTTGGTGAAACGTTTACACTGGCATTCAAGATGTTATTGAACTACGTGCCCCAACAAATCGAAATTTTGTTGGTGTCAGTTTTTCCAAACCAGATTACTGTACACTTTCTCAGTCTATAGTCTCGCTGTATTTTTCTAGTGGACGTCGTATATTTAATAGTCGGAGTGACTTGTACTGGTTTTCGTATTACCTGGAGCATGAGTGCAAAAGGGAGAAGCGTAGAGAGCCACGAAAGCTCTATCGTCTGGTTAAGTTAGTGGACCTTGATTTCTCTAAACATATGTATCCTCCATCATTGACACTTAGTCGTTCACGATTACCCCCTTTTCGCAACCTGTTTAGCCACTGCCTTATCGTCTTTTGCGAAGCTTTCAAAAAGAAGACGCCTATATACGTATTTATTTGACACTATGCCGCTGGTGCTACCGCGGCTGGTGACAAAGACCGAAATAGAATATCAATAAAGGAAACAGGGCTGTGCGGAGTAATCGATCTGAGTGACCCAAAACCCATCGTTTCAGCTCAGAAGCGGAGATATTAGGCCTAAACATGAATCCAGGTTCAACTGACTTTGACGCTAGATTCACCAAAAAGTATGATTTTTGCGCCAACTGATATGAATAGCTGAAATATTTGGGATGGATCAACATTAAAAATAAAAGTACAGCTGGGGACACGCTGAGAATGTGCACATTTAACTGAACCGCAGCAAATGACCAAGGGCATTTTGATAATGCTGGGTGGACATTGACCTCAATTTGCTTGATGTGACAACGTACCAGTACTTGTTCTAACGAATAGTGTAGAACGGGTAGTTTGGTTTTGATAAAGATAAAAGCGCTTACCACTCGAATACTCTTATGGTGCAGTACCTTTAGAGTCCAAACCAGGATTTCTAATGAACCATAAAAAATAACGGTCTACAAAGATCACTGTTTTTTATTCTGTTGCTACCTTAACCTCGGATTTAAATGGAACATTCTATAAAAATAAAATCACCGATAGCTTAAAACAATGGCTAACCGTTAAGTCCCTCCTTGTTTCAACGATCTGTGGCAGTGGAACATGGAATTAGCTTCGTTGCAGGCCAGTGGTAATAACAGATAAGTTCTACCATGTTTACGAAAACTTAGCCAGGTGTGGCTCCTCATACGGCATACAAATCTAAAGTTCAGTTTTGTAAGGTTATGAATGTTGTCCTTTCAGAATAGTCGTCTAATAAAACCGCCAGACTCATGCTCTGGTGGGACGCTCAACAGCATTAAAGCGTTCACGGAAAATGCTCGCATAAACACATGTTTTCCTTATAGCCTAATCTATAGGCTTTTGGCGATGATTTATGAGCTTGTTTGTAACTACCTTTTTAAGGAGCCAACTAGATCCGTTGAGGTTTACTTGCTTCACGAATCCTTCGGTGTTGTCACTTAACTCGTTTGTAGATTCGGTTTGCACAATGGGCGAATTATCAACCGTGGAAATTCCCGATACCAAGTTTCAATCCTCCATGTGTTGAAGCACTATTTGTTAAAATGTGAGAGCTGAGCCGAAGGCACCTAACCCTAAGATTTACCCATCCATTAGCAATATTAAGAAAGATCTGCACATTGGCCCTTTTCTTTCGTCAGAAGCGCTTATCTTTTTTGTTTGCAGAAAGATATCTGAAAATTCATAAACCAAAGTCAAGGTAATGGCAACTGAATTCTACCAGGATACCTTGATTGGAGGGCAAAACAGATGATTCATTACAGTGTTTTCCCACTGATGTAGCCAATTCAGAAGACCTCTTCTGATCATGTTTTTACTCAACCGCATCATGAGTTCTTTCACTGCATCAGTTTTTAAAACCACATTTTGAGGGACAATAAAACCAGGTACAACGACCCTTGTCTTATGGGTCCAAACAGCGTCCAACGGACTGAAACTGGTACTTTTAGGGTTAGTTGAACGAGATCACTTGTATTAAACTGGTCGTACTTGTTCTTAAACAATATCATCCATATTATCAATCCTCCATGACCTCAATTTAGGGAAAATTCATTGAGCTGCATTTCATTTCTCTCCGTTAGTCCCAGCTTGCAGTGTAAGGTATCGTTTTGAACGCCAATTGCAACAGCAATACATACCTTAAAAGATGATCAGTATCCTGCAACTCAACCCCGTCGATTGACTTGTCCCGATTGGCCTCACTGAGAGTTCGAGGCACTGCAGTAATTTCGTATCCGGCTTGTTGAAGGTAATGGATGATTGTGCTCTCCGATCCAATGAAATGAGCTGGAGCAGATAAGGTTAACATTAATGTAAAAAAATCCCACAACTTCAAATGGACCTGGGAAATACTCAATATTTTTATTTGCTATAGTTATACTCACTATGGAACTGCATGGAGCTCACTGAGTAGGTGTAGGTCCCCGGAGTGTCATAAGAAAAGTCTGTGACCTGAGCAGGGACTCTATGGAAAAAACATCCGTAGGCTGTTGCCAAAGTTGGACTCCACTGAGTCTCCAGTTCGAAAAACTTTAACCAGCATTTGAAATCAAAATGAGCTATCGTCCTATCTGATTTTCAAGCCAGGGATTAACTATCTCCGATTCCGGGGAATGCACCTATTTGGGGGTTCTAAACGGGACGAAGCGAGTTGAGGGTTATTTTGTGAATTTTGAGTCCTCGTCACACGCTATTTTGTCAAAACAGAGGGAACTTCATTTGTTATCCTGCAGTTTATATACTACGTCATATGAAAAAATATTAATATGCTGTTGACTACGAGGGACACCATCGCGTTTCCTGCTAGAGCCATTCCATTATGCAAATGAGTTTAAAAGTTCGTAACTTCACTTCATCACATCCCAGTTGGAAGGAAGTTAAATCGTCACTCAGTGAAGAATGTTTCCAACTTGCACATTCCTGATACCTGCTCAGGTCTGCTGCAGTAAACAATGATATCCTCGAAATATCACACCACTAAAACATGAGACATGTAATTCATCGTACAACTGCCAATATTACTGTTACTATACTCGTTACTGTTGTTAATGTATTGTTGACTGTTGGACAACAGCTGTCACTATTTTAAATGTCACGTTAAGTACTTCGCTGTACCCACAGTGACGCAAAATTGATTTTTACCCCTTTTATGAGGCATGTGCTTTCAAGACCCTTGTCAGTCAGAAAATGCAAATAGATGAATAATTCAACGCCAAGTGTTCTGTGAACATAAATGATGGTGACACAAACAGTGTTTAAAATGACTGATGAGCACCGACCAAAACACAAAATCCTAATAGGGTAACCTGAGACGTACAAAAACGATCCTTCCTTGCATGTACGGACTTCCATAGCCGAACTATCAAGACTCCACATCCCATGCTCGACATGAGGAGTTGCTTTCTTCACACAACTGCTCGTAGGCTAAAGCGCATTCATGAACCGCTTCAGAAATAGATGTGTGCGTATAACCTGACCGATGCTTCGAGTTTGTAACTATGTTCAAAATGCAAACCTCAGTTAGGGCAAATGTGCTTCATGAATATTTGATCTCCATGACTGCGCTTGCAAGTTGAGATCTCACCGGAGACACTTGTTTACAAAACGTCCTAAGACATGTGCGTATACAACAGACATCATAAAGAGACACTAAGGGAAACAAGTGATGAAACAGTTTTACTGAGGTACAAGACCTTTTCCACGTATGACAGCTTTCTACTAAGCACGTCTCTATTGTTCGAACTTGCTTTAACATTGAAACACCAAGCTGCGATACATTGTCTAACTCGATAATGAATGACCTATGACGATGATAAGTGCCCTGTACATAAAATGTATTATTTATTTTCAGCACCTAATTATTTACTCTTAGTTGATTACTGAGTTCAGGCATGCTGAAAAAATGTAATCATTTAGAGTCAGAAAACCGCTTGTTAGGCAGATGGATTGTTACTCGCCTGAGACTTATGTGGTCGATGGTAACGCTTTTATCAACTCCGTATATCCTGTTAAAGGCTTGATCACTCATAGTTGGGTCGGCCTACAAGAAAATTCAGTCGATCTAGAAGACAGGAAAAAGCAAACTACTTTTAGGAGAATGAAAATTCTCAAAGGATAGGAACAGTATGTTAGGCGATTGGGGCACGTACCACATATACGGTAGTGGGAATTGTGATAGTGGTGATGTAACGGTATATTACTGATAAACCATGCGAAAGTCGATGGTTTGATTTCCAAGCTACGCACCAGCATCTGATACAAGGTTAAATTCATTACGGAATTGGTTTGCAATAGTAGTTTACTGTTGTGTAATAGTCAAGGAATATTAAGGAAATTCAAAGAGGACGCATGAGAATGTCAAGTTTTTAAGGGCTATATGCATACGAGATGTTCACTGTCCTGTCTATTGACGTGTAACTGCTTAGTTCGTGTTTACTAACAAAGGACTATGCAGCGAAGGGCTTTCCTCTTTTTCGGTGATCGAAACAGTGTGTTACACGTTGGTGGGCGTACCAATTATACGATAGCGGGCATTGTGGTGGTGGCACGTGCCCACGTCCGGGCTGATATGTTGAAATGTGTGTGCGTGTCAAGCTTGTGAGATTAGGCTAACTGTGCTTGTTTGTCTGTGAGAATGAACATGTAGGCGACAGTCACGATAAGGTCATTGTGTGCGTTCTGCGTGTCCGTTTTTTCCGAAGCCGCTTTCACTCGGACAGCTATAGATCATAAATACAGGAGCACGTATCTGTTCGCCGTAAAACCTGAAGCTGAACTGACGGATATGCGGTAGGGTTCTCCTCTAAGTATGCGGTAAAACGTTATTTTCTCCCGATTATTATATGGTGGTAATTGCTTACAGCACTTGTAATCAGCAAACCCACCGAAAGTTTTTTGAATTTTTAACCGAAACGCTATGCGGATCATTCCGTGAATCTAATTCAGTAAACCATGTTATTGCGACGCTTCGATCCGATAGTCTTTTTGTCCAGCAAGCTATTGATGGACAATGTATCCATGTCTTATATCTTTGGTCGAGGTGCTATGGATATCCACTGTTTTCGAGCATCTATGGAAGAGGATCAACTTCCCTCTGTCACTGGGTGATAATCAAATAGAGTTTGTCACTCTGGTCTGAAACAAATACGTCGATAACAAGTTTTATGAAATCCAGTACGCTCGAATATATTTTTGGCCCTCTTTTGTACTGTGATTCGTTTCAGTTAATTTCATCAGGAAGTAAAACAAATGCCGTGTTGGAAACTGAATCAGTACCTTTACTCCATTTCACGATAATCCAGCTGATGGACTCGCGATAAACTTTTCAGTAAGTAAATCGTGATTTGTGTATCAAAAACAATTATTCGTGATACGCTTAAAACCGAAATTTTCTACGAGAAATGAGTTAAAATGATCACACCACTTTTCTTGTCACTAGGATCACTAGCTGAATGAGTCCAAGTTACTTATGGCTCACATTTAGTTCAGCTGGAGCAAGTGGGTTTGGGAAATCTTTAAGTATAACAAGGAGAGGAAAGCATGTAGAAAACGGCTCATTCAAACAACCAGGACACACACTTATGGTAAAACCAAAAAGTTCAACCTTTCAGGAATATTCTTCCACATCCACACTACTCTAGTTTTTACGACCATCCTCTTCTTTGCATAATTCTTCTGGTGAGTCCACATCAAAGAGAAGCACTGGACTCGAGCTTCACTCTCATTACAGCACACCAGCAGTGCATACCCAATGGCCGTGCCGGGATATGAACCCCGGACACCTGACATGGGAGGCGAGCGTTACCACTAATAAACCAACACACGTTGGACGCATCTGAATTTTCACGTCTGAACAGGCGAATTTGTTCACGCTTGAGCGATGTGATTGCTGACCCATCGAACGATGACCCAGTAACTGTCCTAATTCTGATGATCGACAGACACGCCGGGCAGGATTTCCCAGTCCGGTAACGTTCTGGAATATTCACACTAATGATTGTTTGTTGTATGGGAATTTTAGTTTGATTGGGTTTCAGTCCTCTTGATGGTCTGAATATCAAGCACTAAACCCGGGTAGATTAGTACTGTGGTTTTTCATAACAACGCTTTTTTTCTTTTGAACTTCACTGGTTAGATTTATACTCTTGAAGTTTCCGTCTCTCAAGGATACAAAAGTCAGTAATTTAGGACACAGTCATAGTAAGTAGGCTGATCATCAAACTCTATCTATATGTTCGAATGTATGGCGTGGAAGGCTATTTTTGCTTTTAAATAACCTACTGAGGTGACGTCGCGGTCGGTCTGGCAGCAAGGAACCAAGCAGGAATTGCATCTCTTTGTTTATCACGAGAGGGTCCATACGTTTGGATTGACATGTCTTTTGCATTTACGGATTGCGACTTCTTTCATCCCTGTGACACGCATGCATGCACTGAACTGCAACAAACCGCTGAAGGAGTTCCAACCACGTGGTGTAGGCCATAATCTGTGGCGCCAGTTGGTGACTATTCTGTTTTATACTTCAGGTAGGTGGTCCCTAGGTGCTGCATGGAAAAAAATTTCCACCTGTGTCTATTTTATTGAACAGCATGGCAGAGCTGCCGTCAATCTTACAACCAGCGACCTGTATACAGAACTTTCTCATGACTAGAATCAACTATTCATCTTAGGCACCGGATTCTTAGGTCTCCATGATGACTGGTAACAATAATCACACTTGGTTCGTATGGGAGCTGCTATCTCAATTGTTCCATTAATATCCAGGTAGGCCGCGTAGGGCGCTGCAACACCACACGTTTTGAGCGACAATCCAAATCTTTAAATAATGATTGGGGACCACCATTATCTGTGTCGAAATGCTAGGTTGATACCAAAAGATTCATAGGCCGTTTATGATGTACAGTCAATCGCAGACTAGCCTGAGTGTGATGGGAGGCTTAAGTGAATCGCAACTGGATTTTCTTAACTAAACCTGTTGCACAACGGTCACCCTATGTTTGAGTTGGTACGATATTCGAGATTTTACAGGACGTTTTTCTTGACGAAACCTTACTTTTTTATTAGCCCTCCTGTCAAAGCATTGGGTGGGTATCAACTTGTTTCACGGGTTTTTCCCAATTTTTAGGATGATTAACTGCTGATTTCTATCTCACATACATCACATTTTAATGGTACTCATTTGAATAAAACCCTATTTGAGTAACCAGGCACAACCAATCATGCAAGAACCACTGTCTTTAAATTTGCTACATAAAATAATGTTGGACGATTTTGATCACAATATATGTTGCTAAATCCATCAGGAGATAAAGCCATCTCACGGAAACACACAAATGTTTGCTTCTAAACTGGGAACATTCTGCTTTAGATAACCGATCGTTAGGCATGTACGATATACTGAGGCATGGGGTCATGAGGGTCTCTGAAGTTGGCCTAAAAGAATTTGGGAAGGAACTGCTGTTTTTTCCAGTGTTTATTGTGTGTATTAGAAGGCAGTAACGACTCAAGAAAATTGGCCCAGACTCAAGGTTAGTTGACGGTATTCAGCGGCCAGTTTTTATCTTAATCAGGCCAACTGGAGACAAGTAAACCGTTCAGGAAAACAAATATATGGGTTCGGTGTGCAAAACGTTGAGCTGGGCATAAGAAATTGGCAGGATTACTTAGTGGCAAAACAAAACAACCAAATAGGTTTGAAACTAGTATCTGACTAAACTAGTAGATTGGTTGAAATGAAGTCAATTTATTGACGACACAGCTTGTTTCGTGGTCATTATCACTGTTGCGCGTTCATGACATTATGAAATAAGGTAGCAGACCGTCTCAAAGATAACAATAAAAATGGACAAATGAGTCGGTGATTATAAGGTGGATCAGCGGACGATGAGTAGGTTCCAAGCTTATGCGTAAAATTTAATTTTCTGTAATTAGTTTTCTTCCTATGCGCTGTCAGCATTTTCACTTGTAATCTAGGAACAGGAAGAGAAAAAATGTAACTGTGCATTTAAAGCATTTTGTCAGTAGTTTCTAAAATATTCTAATGAGTCCACGATATCAGGAAAAAAGTGATTTTGACTTCTCCTGAGAAATGAATTCATTTCAAATATTTCTCTCTCGGGGCTCTTTGTGTCCCGCTGCGAAAGCTTTCTACTGCCGTCTTTTCATAATTACGTTTAACTGCATTTGACAAGGATGGTAAGGTATGGGCCTTCAGGAGGACTCTTCAGAAATCACGCACTCACATTTGCGAAACTCGAGTCCTTTCGCAAGTCCGTCGTTTATAAGGAAAGTCTGCTGCTTTCAGATTCAAATGAAAACGTCAATTAGAGGTTTTGTTTGTTTCATGTGATTGAAATAAAGTGACAAAATGGATTTAACAATGCTCGGTAAAAGCTTTTATTTCCATTTAACTATACCGAGTCCACGGAGACCTGACCAAAACACATCCAGATCAGAACAGTCGTCAGAGCAAGCAAATTTAACCGATTAGTTAATTGACTTTTTGAGAACTTTACTTTCAGTTTCAGAAAATGCCAACAAATATCCGACAAGGGCCATTTTTACCGTTGCAATTCTTAGGGCTTTCAACGGCTATTACCAGAATCGTTACTGTTTTGGGAGTTTTCTGAGTCCGTTGAACTTAGATCTACCCTACGAGCGTAGGTGAATTCCGTCATTTGAGTTTTTCATGTAGAAATTTAAACAGGTAAATTAGTCAGCTAAAATGTTTGACTTAAAGAAATTCAGAGCAAATGTCTGTGATTACCGAATAGTACGGACGGATAGACAAGGTCTGATCTCGGGTGGAAATAAATGTACTTCCACATCTACCTGCTGGGAATTTGCTGAGGATATTTGTAATTCCCGGAAGCAGTTGGCAAAGGGGAACAATAGAACGCGATGGTCTCGAAAAAATAACCTATTGACTTTGTAAAAAAAGTGAGCTTGAGATATTTGACAACTGCTTGATGTAAACATTCCTACCAAGATCATGTTCCTCTACTACGTAACTTTTAGAATACTGCTGTTTGCTTTCCAGACACTAGGAAAATTCGAACTTACCGGCTCCAATAGCAAAAAATGCTGATTTCCCTTGACTACGAGCCTTGTTTAGCTCTCTTATTATCCGAGTTGCCATCTTTTCGTTCCGCTTTACAATCAGTTCTTTGTTGAGATATTCTTCCAGTTCTTCGAGAATTGATGGATGTGTACTCTTCATCAAGGTCCGTTCAGAAGTCGAAACATTTTGGATAGGTTTCTGTGAATGTTTTGGGCTGTTCTTAAAAGATCTAATGGGAGGCAAGGTTTGGGATGTATTTTCTGTAACAAATCTTAACTGAGCGTCGCTCTGAAATGTGCTTGGAATCGACTGTCGTATGCCATCTGATAACAAGAGAGAACTAATGTCGCCACAGTTGTACTGATCGATTAATCTTTGTGCGGTCTTCCAGACTGGTTTACTGTTCCTTGCTATACGTGACGTTGATCCTGGTGGTTGCTTAGATGAAGGCTGGAAGTAGCCTGGACCACTATTGTTTGAATTCACCTCTTTATTGGAAGTATGAAGGTTGTTTTCCACGGTAACTTCTGAACCCGAGTCAAACCCCGCGTCTTGTCTATACGTTTGGTCACTCCTTGCCTGATCCATTGTCATTTCCAGTCCATCCAACGTCATTTTAAGCGCTAACGAGGCCTGATGAAAAGAAAGTTGTGAGCATTTTTCTGTTAACAGTGGTGCAAGACTGACCATTCGTAGATAGAGTGACTGAAATGTGTTCACGTACGTGATATTGACTCACAGCTACCTGCAAAGTGGAACGAAATCTTTACATATCTTCCTATCCCTGTTTGTGCTTGTGTGCGATGGTGAACAACAAATCTACATTTGGTAGCTAAATTAGTCAGACTGTAGTGGAATTTTCACAATTAGGTCTGGCAATATGGGTGGTCTGAGTGCATAAGCGCTTCATGAATGAGCGACAAAGCAGTTGGCATAGTAATGAAGTGGGATGTCTGGCGCCAGTCAGCTGGTGAACATGAGTTGTTTTTTCAAAACAATGAACCGGCCTTCCTGGGAGAAACAAGCATAAGATTTACAGCCCACGACGCACGTCCATAAAGTGGCTATAGTTTTCATTTCACTTTTGATACAAGTGAAAATTAAAACTTGTGTGTCATTAATAAAGTAGACAACCTAACATTGAGTCACCCCCTTCGATATCCATGGAATGCGTTACCGACAAATCGTGTGCATTTATTAAGTTTCCTCTAATAAACGAACAGGTGAGCAGGCATAAAATTCTTGTCTTACTTTCCTCCTTATTTTTTTAATAGCTTTTGAACAAAATCAGCACCTACAGTGTATGCACTAACATTTTTGGCTCACACTGGTCATTCTCACTGTGGTTCATTTTTTATTTCGTTACGATAAGGTAAATTGCAAATTCGTTCCTAAGTAAACTGCCCACGATTCCAGGAGTTCATTTTAACAGGTTTCACGCTGGAACAAATCACAACCGTGATGTAGTGGAATGGAGGTAGCTCGGGACTGCTGCTTGGGGCTTGGTTCGTTCACCGAGTTTGGCAGTTGGATTGCAAATATCTTATCACCCTCCTCTTCTGCCTGGGGAAACATTGTTCCCAAACGGTATCTCATAAATCTAAATAAACTGATTTGTCGAAAGTCAGCTCTTGCGTAAATCCATTGGTCAGTATAGAGTCTTCGTTGTGTTGTGGTCCGATTTCGTATATCCGGTTTATTCGTTAGGTGCGTTCAGTTCGAAAGCTATGTTCCTGTGTAGTGATTAGACCGTTTCTTTCTTGCTTTGCTGTTTAGTTTTTTACTTAATTTGTTGACTGGGTAATCTTTTTTTGCCGGTAAACTTCCTTTTTTTGATTCGATTGTTCCCTTGGTTACTGTTAGATCTTTTGATTTATCTGAACAAGTGTAATTAGATTCCTGAACACATAAGAGATACTTAATTTGAAACATTAATATTCTGTTCAACTGGAGGTGCACAGATTTCATTATTATATCATGTAAGTGCATGCCAATTGCTTTCATACTGCAGTACCGGTAGTGATATCCATCATACTATAGTGTAGCTCGGAATCGACCGAGTCAGTTTTAGAACTTTAAATGAGAACTGCAGTCGGATTCTCTCTATGGATATACTCAAGCAAAAATTCTTGAGTACCTCACGTTTCCCTGCTCATTTACAAACTGAAGTGTTGTCTTTTGTTCTTTAAAACGAAAGACAAAAAACAAAGACAAAAGACAACAAAATTTAAAGGGTCGATACTGTGGCGCACTTCCGGCATTTGTGAGCTTAGTTGGTTAATTAAATATTGGTTTCTGTGGCTGTTCCAGAGTGCGTAGAAACGATCTAAATCTAAATCTAAAGATCACTTAAACTCTTTTGTGCAAGATGGCTCAAGTGTTTAGAGTGCGAATTTACTGACCAAAAGGTCCGTGGTTCGAATGCGACCTCCGCCCTCGACTTCCCTGTCTAGGCTTGGGCAACCTGGCAGTATCCCAGACCTCGTGCTTCCTTTGGGTGTCATGGCAGCTAGGCACCGGAAGGGTGTTACAGCTGAACGATTGGATTGACAGTATATATAAACGAAAGTTACTACCAGTTAGAAAAAGGACTTGGAAGTTTGGCCGTTACTTCACTTACATTTCACAGGACCTAAATTAGTTGATCTAAACGTTAGGTTTTATTTCATCTGGATTGTAATGAAGGTGATCATTATATAGCATTCAACTAGATGGTAAGATTTTTCCTTCCCAGTGGTTGATCCAAATTGATCAACGAAAGCCGTCCTTTTCGAAAATACGCATCAATTTTACCACTTTGGCAACGTAAACCTTTGTAAGCTCCGTGAAAACGGGACTTACATCTTATGCAGGCTATTTTTGCGTATACCGACTATTGTTAAACAGACTTCATTTTTCTCTGGACAAACGTTCATTGAAACTCACAATAAATGTTGACAACTGGGTTTGCAGAACTATTCATTACTCTCAGAATAATTTGGAAACAACCTTGCTTATAGTCTGTATTTACCTAGTCATATATAATGAATTAATAAATAGTATATAAGGAACAAATTATCCGTTTTTTTAAATTTCAGTTTATCGAAATCATAGAACAAACGGACCAAAAATCCTGTTTTTTTTTTCGCGTACTATTATTTTTGCTTCCACATGTAAGTAGTTTGCTTTTTTATCATTGAGAAGTTATTATTGGCGGATACGAATTTGAAGATTACTATTTTTGATGCCGTAGTTGGATGGATTCACTTGGATGTAACCAAACAATAAACTAGAATTTCTTGTCAACCTTTGACTATTAATTTAAAAAACCAATGGTTCGGACCGTAATAAGTCAACTAACTTGTTTGTCTGGCACTCCATTTAGCGGATCGCACTGATCCGTTACTTCTTCCACAGCTCCCCACTGCTTTCCCAACCTTTGTGCAAGTTGAGCCATGAATAAATCCAATACAGGCACCCCGCGGTCTGCAATTTCTCCACGCGTCAGACCAGTAAGCAGAAACAAGATCCACATGGGTCTTTTCCATTTCCAATCCTTTGCAATCAAATCTAACAAATACCGGACGTAGGCGAAGTTTGAGTGCTGCAAGTCTCTTGACATTGACAGCCGGGTGCGAGTTATATAGGAATCCAGACGATTGATGAGCTCAGGTGACAGCAGATCAGTTAAATCTTTATCCTGCGGTAACAACTGACAGTTTGCGAGTTCTCCCAGCGTAGCTGGATCCATTAAGTCCAGTTCAAAATAAATATGATCAGCAGCGAAAAAGGTGTCTTTGACGACTGGATCAATGTGTGGCCACACATGAGTGTAAGCCACGTGGAGAGTACCAAAAAGATGCGAATACGGTTGTGTGGATATCCGCCAAAGGAATGAACTTGATGTTGCATTCGGTTTCTGAAATAAAAAAGGTTCATTTTCCTAGTATTATCACGGCAACCAAATTGAGTACTTGTGACATTGAAATTACGATCTGGGTTTAAGTTCGAACGAAACGGCGCCTCACTGAAGAAGAATAGTAATGTGATTAATCATTCCCAGACTAACAAACGCAAACGGTAAATGTGATAAAACAGTAACTCTTTCACCAAACACAGTTCGTTTGCGTCAACACCTGATGCTATACTAAGATAAGTTAATCGTGGCAAGAAATCCAAGGATAGCTTCCGCATTTTCTTCACTGATGCAATATAGCATTATGATGCCTTTAGTTGTAACTCAAACCTGCGGTCTCCGAAATTTAGTTATTTATGGTTTCAAAATTCATTACTGAATAAAATTGGCGGCACTATGAAATATAGGTTAGTAACATATTTCGTTTGGTTGAAAGTTTGCCTGTAGAATCTTGTATTCCGTATTGTATGTCGAAAATATATAGTAACAGCGGCTAGGTTATGACAAAATTCAGTCCGTCAATTTGGACAAACCAATGCACAATTTTTCTCGGAACTACAGGACGTGGCCTAATGGCTGAGGGTAACAAGTCATACCAGAATATCCAAGCATTCAAGTCCCCAGACAATGTCAACGGCTGATTAGCGAAATGTACTAGTTTCATTCTGGTCTAAAAAGCAGTATTTTGAATAGTTATGCTTTACCGTGGTCTTCTTCTGGAGTCAGCGCTTACAAGACAAAATTTCACAGGCCTCGTATCAACTTCATGGTTGTAGTAATCTAGCCGTACTCTTCGTCTCTATAATTTGTGGATATTTTGGCACATTTCAGAAGGTCTTTTGACGCACTTATTTGAGCAAACTTAAGGTTCTTCAGGGATATCTGCCTGTAGCTTTAGAGACTACTCGTTTTTAAGCACAGACGCCTAATGGCCTATTTTTCTGTTTTCACGCTGCAATTCGGACACAACTTGAGTAACTTCAAGGTAGAATCGAGTCATTATACAGCCAAAAAAGACAATTTAGGGGATGCATCCCACACGTCCTAATACTCTAGACTAAATTCTACTGGGTGCGGCGTTTTTCGTAAGAGTATTTTAGCCTGAATTTCCCACCGTTAGAATATTTTATTTGATTCTGGTTGATTTTTTGGATTATAATTTAGTAAATCAATTGTAAATTAAAACTTGTGACTTTCGTTCGAAGGTTGCTGGGATGTAACTACTCTTTTAGAGACGGAGGTAAGGTAAAATGTCGTCACCCATGGCTTCGTTTACGTTTTGCACTGATCATCTAAGTTTTTCAATTTTAGAATGTACTTGGTGATCCGAGTCACGGTACTGCATTTTGACCAGGGTTTATATCCGGTTTTGTTCAACAACTTAAGGAAATCGGGAAGGGGACCACTAATTTGCTTCTGTAGCTTAACAGTTTCTCTACTCTTTAACACGAAGTCATATCACAACCATAATGACTAATAAATTAGTCATTCTCCAGTACAATGGCCTTGCTGAAACTTGCTTACAAATTCCATTTTGGATTTCTTTTTGGAGTTCACATCATAAGGTTATCATCTAAGGATCCTCTGATATTTTCGCACGCTCAGTTTTGCCTCTCACAAAAGGCCAATGAAGGTTCAAATCAAACACCGTCCTCTTATAAACGCTTGCATGTAGATCATGTGACTAAATAGATATGTTTCTTTCTATGTAGGTAGCATCACCATACAATTAGTGTATTTTCATGATTAGAGGTCTCATTAAAATTGGTAAGATGTCCTGATAACAATCTAATGAAGAACCAAGGTTTTAAAGTACGATGTATGCGGCCTCTCGTGTCGTGCTGGGTCAAAAAGTGTATAAAATGCGAGACTTTTGGCTGCGTAAAGATGAGTTTTCTACGCGGGAATCCCTATAAGAAGAAACGAATTTGTTTCACCTATCCGTAAGAGCCAATAAACTGCTATCTATTCGGCGGTGTGATGTGAAGGGCTTTCATTCATTATTAATGGACGACAACTCACCTTAAATGCAGCTGCTTTTTCCAACATTTTACTGCTTTACACCCAACAAGGGTCTGGTTCGTTCGGCATAACGTCTTTTGGATTCAGGAATTCTCAGTGATTAGGGAATTTTCTTACATGTGTTGCAAAGTGGAACACTTGTGTCTACGATTTTGGGTCGTAAAACACCGGCAAAACACCTCATCAGACTTCAAGTTATGCCAACTCTCCTAAGAGCGGGAAGTGGGTACTTCAACCTGGGGTTTCCATCATTACGCTTGAAAAAACCACATCACGACAAAACTACACAACTTAGGTGTGTTAAGATGCATTTGCGTTGTATCCGGAAAATCTGACACCATTGTGAGCTGTCTAGACCCGCAAAAGGCGGAAATGTAAAATGTGAAAATATGTTTAACACAGACAAAAGATGAATAAGCGGGTAGCGCGATGTGAATTAAGCGGGTAAATTTTTGGAGCCGATTTTCATGCCAATATTTTACATCATTGTTCACTCTATTCGGGTATCCAAAAGTTTGAGTAGAACACGTTTAGAAAAAATGGCCAATGCACTCAGAGTGTCCCGATTCAAACTTCTGGCTTAAGACATCATGTCTTGAGTTTTAAAAAAATCTATATTTTGTACTTATCCCTCAATGGTAACAAAAATTCCAATTTTCCAGAAAAAAATCAACTGATCGTCCTGTGAAAACCTCAGTCACTTTGATGTCAAATGCTAACTTAAATACCAGGGCCGGATGAGTAATAGTGGACGAGTTCGTATGGATGCTTTTTAGGTTGTTCCACACGAACGCGTCGTTGTTTCCAGTTATCCCGGTCTTACCCAAAAATCATGACCTCCACCACTAAACGGACCATGTTTTAGACTATTATTGACACACTCCTATGGGAATATAAGTAACTTGGTTCTATTAGAGCACGTGGGCTACTTTATTTGATTGATGGTGATACTGTATGTAAGTATGTAGAAGATATTGGAGCACATCGTCATAGACATTCTTGAAAAGTATTCCTAAAGAGGAACTTGTTTGCAGCATTTTTATCACCAGTCTTCGGATTGCAGTAGATTAGCGGCCAAAGAGGCAGGAGGTGGGACCTACATTTTGAGTATCAGCTCGGTGGTGGACTGCGTTAGTACGTTTTAGCCAAATCGTTCGCAGGACAGGATCCACAATAAATATTTCGTGACGGTTAAGAGTTGTCATAGAGTCTTCCTCCAAAGCTCCTGCGTTTGACTCGCATGTGTCGGTACACGGTAAGGAAGCAGTGACAAACCAACCTGTCAGAACTCTGTTCAACTGTCTATCTAATCGTGCCGAAATGTCAAGATGCTAGTTAGATGTCTGGAGAATCCTTTACATTTGGGTCAAAAAGTAAGGCATGGTCGTCCATAGGCTAGTAAACGTAATTCGTAATAGCGACCTGAACCTTCAGTTTACTAGATCTACTGATCTATAGTATTCAATTTTGTCTTTGTTCTCCTCGTAGCCATATGCATCGCTAGCTCAATCCACAAAGCACGAGGCGTCAACTTTTGTCTTACCTACAGATAGGTGCAAACTATTCACATTGTGTGTAATTGTCAGGATGTTAGACAACTTTTAGACAACTGACGGTTGACGGCGACTATTCGAAGATCCGAGTTTTACCCTGTATCTAGTAGACCGTCGTTTCCACGTTTATGGTTGGTTTATCGCACTATTGGACGGTCACTTGCGACGGCGTGCAAATGAACACAAGCGTACAGCATTGGTGGAGTTAGTGATAATCGCATTTTGTGCATTTTATTTCGGGGAAGCAACAACGTCAATTCCACTTCTAGCGTCTTTCATAGCCGTTTGTTGCGTATCTCCTCGGATATTGAGACTAGTGTAGGCTTCTGAGAAAGCCGTTTCAAACAGGGTTTTCCGAATTTCACTTTGTCCACTGTTTCGCTCTTACTGCCGTCATCGCTTCTTTAAGTCAGCAAAGTAAATCGTATATTCCTTCATTTTCTAATAAAATTCCTTATATGCCTTTACCCACTTGCAGATAATTATATTTTAGCGATAAATGCAGTGTGAAGGAAGAATGTCCAAAGAGTACAGGGACATATAAAAAAAACCCTGCTCGTGTGAGGTCACCTTCCACATGTGGGAAGGCTTGGAGTTTTCATGTACTGTTCGCAAGAATAATGACCTATCAGAAGTCACATAATCTGTATCCACTCCTATTTCTTCCTAAGGGATCCCGCTTATCTTGTCGCGGTCGCCAGATTTGTACCGTATGGGTAAGGAGAGCAGTCAACATCGCAAACCAGGGTTCATTGAGTACAGTGGCAACAGTGATTTTCATGAACCTGTATTCCTGGTCACGATGGAGAACACGGGCTTCGTTAGTTACGCTTCGCTAGTTTCAGGTTTACTTTTTTCATATATTTACTGCTTTTTTACCGTACTGTTCGCATAACCACTTGAGTTATTGCTTTCATCACTGCAGACATGATTGAGTTAAACGCTGATGTCCTACAATCTCATCCTAGCTAGAAGCCATTTGAAGTCGACTCGTTGAAAATGCGTAGCCAACTCACCACCAACACAACAGAAAAATAATATGCCGAAAGAGATAGTTTAGATATTGTGGTTCAAAAATATTCATGGCTGACCATGTATAGAAGGATGTAAATAGGTTTCGTCCAAAATCGGGAAGAACAACTTTACTTGTTTTTTGCGAGGTCTGCGTGCGTAATTTCGTGAGTCTTGCACGAAACTACGTTTATCTAAGCGTTTGATGTCTAAGATTTATTTGTGCTTTAAAAATTAACACTCTAGTGTCGGTTTAGTAGCAAAGTTCAACTAAGGACTCAAAACCACTGGGCAGATTATGCCACATACTCCCAACTAGGCAGTTATATGGCGTTGCTCTTGACATTCTTCCATTGAACATGAAAAATGTAAGGATTAACCATGGTCCGCTTATTGCGCTGTAAATGTGATCTCTCTTGCGCAGATCAGGCAAAGTGCCATCAGACTGATCCTGATGTGAATGTAAAGATCTCCACACGATACAAAATCCATCATCAAATTCAGCATTTCCGCATAATCATCATTAGAATACACAAATTTGATATTAAACTTCCACCATATCATTGTGGTTTTCCTGTGGAGTTCACCTTAGGTGTAAGGTCTCTTTCTGTTTCAGATAGATTCCTGCCATTATGTTCGACGTGATTTGAGCCAGGCATGTTTGGGCACCGTGGCGCACGCTGTGCACCGTTGGTTTTATGATAAACAAAGATTTGCCGATTGCGCGATATGGACTAAAGCGCTTTCGTGTTGAATTATGCTACCTTCTTCAAAAAACGGCGACAAATAACGCTCGCGCTGTTTTATGAAAAGGAAGGATTGCTTTTGCTTTCATAAGATATCACCTATTCACATGTTCCAGCTAGTTGGGACATCCATGTGTTTCATAAGTGTGGGTCTTCTTGGCAAGTAATAGAAGCGATTGACACTCAAATTTCAATCAAGTGGGCAGTTACAAATTACTTTTGACACTCCACAGTATCCGTACAGTTGTATCGTGCATAGTTGGAAGCAACTGTTTGTTTTCGTGATGTCCTACCGGGGGAAGATGGCTGGAGAATTTTAAAAAAGTTCTTGCCAGCTTTGAACAGTTACCAAATCATCAAACTGTTTCTCCAGGGCATCAACAGTTTTGCTAGTCCGCAAGTGGAACGTTCAATTTTAATTTAACGCTGAAGTGTACAGGCGGTGTACTCTTCACTAGGCTGAACTACCGTGGGTGTGGTTGTGAGTCAGTTATAGAGCAACGTCACCGAACAATTCGCCTTTTTACCGACATTATGCTGAGGAGAAAATAATTGTAACAAATAACGATACTGTCTTAAATTTTGTGCTGAATAATTTCTGCCCAACTAACCCATATATTGGCTTCTATATGAACCGTTTCACAAGCGTTTTGAATATTTGTATACATAGAGAGAGACAGGTTTAAAAACACGGTGAACTCTATTCTATAAACATATCTGAACTGGCCAATATATACATATATATATATATATCAGTGTGTACACTTCAAAAGTTTTGTCTCTTTGAGACTGATAAGAAATCTTTTCAGATGGATCACTGAAAAATAACAAGGGTAAATTTTAGTGGCTATCTACATGAGAATGGAGAAGTTCTGGGACGAGATTTTATGCAGATTGCGAAAGACAATGCAGCTCGGTAGACAATAAACCAGTTTACACCAGCCCTCCATATACGGGGTTGACAGACGCATAACGGATTTCCAGAAAACTAAACAGTTGGTGTAAACCCATTTGTTTATGGCCTATAAACTTTGAGTTTCGTTTCTCCCCTCTTTGCCAAATGTGAACGTTCTGACTATTACTACCGGTATTATCTTACAATGATCCGGCGGAATTTATGGACCTTATCCCATATCGGATATGCACTGATGAAGTGACTCTTAATGTTGAGTGGTAGCCTATGTTTGAAACGCAGATGAAGAAATCTTTACCAAGTTGAAATACTTCTCTACCCTACGAAATAAGTGTACTCCATAGGAGTGTGAATTTCATTGGAATATATGTATGGTCCGGAAAACGGATCGCCGTCGTAAAGGAAGAGTTAATGATAGTCTCCGCTTATAACATGCAAGATAGACAGGTCAGCCCACGTTGGCCGTTTAGTCCCGCATTTAGATAAAGTGAAATGTTAGCCTTTTCGGCTTTTAACTGACCTACCTACATGGGGTATTTCATAACAGGACACCTTATTCCAGTGTCATATTTATAACAGGTAAGTAATTGACAGAGTATGTTTTTATCTGAACATAATTCAGCTAAAAAGTAAAATGCAAGACACTTTTACCACAAAAAGGAACCAGTGTGTTATTCACCATTCAATCAAAATAGCACCTTTTCTTGATCCTCTTGTTGTGACGGAGCCACGAAAAGTAGGCTCACACTTACCTCAATCGGAAGGGTTGTTTTATAACCTATGTTTTGATATTTCCGTAAAAAGCAATGTTTGGCTAGAAAGACTCAGAATAGTATATGTTCAGAGTACTCAGTAGAAACCTTGAATTTGAGAAAAGAGCATAGAAATGGAGCAATATTTCCATGTGCACAAACCGTTTACTTTGAGTAGTCAACGTTTAGCACCGTGAAAAGCAATAATGCTTCTAAAAATCTGCATCTAATCAATAACATTTTAATCTGCTGGAAATGTCTTTTTCTTCAGTCCTTTTTTTGGCAAGACTTTTGGAAAGCATTTACTCCACGGGCATTAATTTAAGATAAATTTACAGCAATTTACTGCAATTGCTTTCGTTTGGAACTTTATCACAAGGGGCAAAACCCCAAGGACTTTGTTGGAAATTAAGTAACTACTTCACTGTTGGGGAATGTTTGCATATCAGACAAAATGTCGCAGGATTCTTCTGTTGTATCTCATCGAATCGAGTTTTGTATCGTTAAAAGCGAAAGGCTCATAAATTTGGTGAAACACTTTTCCTGTCATTTCTGCACATAATGATCTATACAGTGACTCAAAAAAGTCCGAGGGAAACCTTGACTGTGGGTCATACTAATTCTTAAAGAGAGGGCTTTACCCAAAACTGTCTAGGTAAATCCAAATGCAGAACACTGCATTATTATTGTTACGCTATTGTCCGCGTAACCAATTTTAAAAAGAGGTTATACTCTCTTACCGAAATTCATTGATTTATGGGGACAAAGAAATATCCCTAACAAATTGGATTTTTTTTCGAGGAAAAGTGAGTTCTTTTATAGTGTGACAGAAAGGACTATTTCCATGTTTGATTTGAATGCAGAATCCTCATCCCACTTAGGTTATTTTTATGCGGTAATTCGTTGGAGGCCTGCAGAAACTGCTCTGCTTTCGTAAAAATAAGTCAAGCGCTAAAATGTTCGAAAATTTCTCCACACTGCGCTTCAGGATTTCAATGTGCACTCAACTGCACCTGCTAGTTCCGTCAACTATCATCGATGGTGCAAGTCAAATCAACTTATTTCAAGGGACTAGCGCATAGTAAGCCAACAAATTCATGAGAAATTACCCTACTAGGAGAAGTAGAATGATTTTAAATGGATCTGAAACTACCGAAAGAGAAGATTACAAGTTCGTTCCATGCTGCTAACTTGCTAAATTTGGACTCACTATTATTAGCCAGGTAGTTTCTTCTCATTTTTGGCGTATATTTAGAGCATTGACAAGGTGCGTGTAACAGGAGGGACGAGCAGTAAATTCTAGATGGGCTACATGCGATTAACACCATGTTAAAACTGCTGTACAACTGTATTTCGGCACATAACACAAACACAAATACCTATTAAGTGGTTAGTGGTGAACTTCAGCCACCTAACAGGCCTGTAGTGATAAACAATTAAAAACCTTTGTTCCTCTTTGGCTATCCTCAGACTGATCCAAAGCGGTCAAGAGAAATTAAAAAGGACAGCCCCTTCGTAATGCATAACATTTAGTTGCACACAGGTTAGAAGTTCCAGTTAAAGCCTCATCTAAACGGCAAAATGACGAAGGCCTGAGGATAAGTGGGAAAGAGAGACAGCCAAGCCTGTAAGCAAAGATTTCCAAGCGTAAAAGGACGCAGACTAGGTGCCACACAGAGTGCAGAGAGTTAAAGTGCTGTCTGTCAGGAGCAAGATAGGTTCACAAATATTGGTCCGTATAATATAACTCTATGCAGACTCCAAGAAAAGCATTACTTTACCTTTGGTGTGGAGGCTGTCATTGCTGCTAGTCTATTTAGGTTACTCTTTATAATGATGTACATAAAATGGCGGTCAATTAAACTAATTTAGTTCCGTTTGTCTTCCTGCTAAAACCATTTCCTGCACGCATTGAAAGCTTCGGGTGTATGCGAATTGAGGTTTAAGTATCCGCAAAAGTCCTCAGTGTTCCGAGTGTTTCGATAGTTTCATCTTAACCTTCTGAAAAAAAGAGAATTAACAAAGGGCCCTGAGTTGGCCGTGATAGCGAATAGCCGGCAGCCTAGCAAACGTCAGGTAAGCCACCGCTTAATTAATTCTCATTCTTTCTCATTCTTTCTCATTCTCATTCATTTGAAGCTCCAGTCACTGAGATATATGCTCACCCATTTGACTAATATGGTTTTACAAATTATCAGAATACGTTTGCGCAGAAAATCCGGGATGCTATCGTTTGTTATCCTGGAGAAAAGCGCCCTGATCAGGCCTCATTTACGAGTCAGAGTAGTAGCATTTACAAAGCAGATGCAATATACATGTTAGGCTGTTATGCCCAATATGCTTTAATCATGAGTCACATTCGCTCCATTTCATCTGAACCTTGAGGATACGTAGTAGTTAAGATATGATGACGTTTTCGTTCCAAGTGGGTAAATGAACCCTATTGACTGGATATTTATTGCTCATCATGTAACGAGAAATTTTATCAGATTATTCTTCAGTATGACTGTCAGCCTTTGAAGTTTGCATACAATGAATCTGTTCTAGGGAGCACCGAACGAAATGGTGACTATCACCTAAACTCCAGGCAGGTCAAAATTTACACTCGAGGCACCCAAAAGGACGGATGAGAAACTTGGACAAGGCAACTGATCAGCGGTATGGCAAATATGTTTGCCTTTTTCGAGGTATGGTTTATCAGCTATAAAAATCGGCCCGTGTACATGGAGTCCAGATGCAACTACCCGAAGCGGTTGATCAAATAGGCCATCCAAGCCCACCTACTGCGGATTATTGAAGGCAGAAACGTTAACCTGCTGCGACTCTATATGCTTTACTGCATTTCCAACTTGTGAGCTTTAACTGTTCAAAATTTCACATGTGAAAATATTTAAAGCTCTATAAAGGAAGCACGCGGACTCAACCGTCCACTTTTTCTACCCCTACAAGCAGTGTACTGAATAAAAGTTGTTCGAAATAATCCTGCATCACCTTTGTCTACTGGTCTACCGCTGGTCACTGCCCTCTATGCAACGTCGTAATGGAAACATTATGGTGAAACTTATTGATGGGCCAAGAATATTGTTGTTCATTTACTGGAAACGATAGTTCAGAATTACAATGGATGCTTTTGCACTTTTATTAACCAAGTCGCCAAATCTCTACTGGCAGAAAATAGACTTGCATATGGACTACCATCGAACGACTTTATTATGTGACGTGATTTTTGCAGCAGCATGAGGTGGGTAGTTAGAATGGGGGGTTTACACTACTATGACTTTACAAGCACTTAATGAAAAAGCTACCCTTGAGAGAATCCAGGATCCGGAAACAGCCGGCCTGATTTGATCTTCTGCAAGAAGCAAGTGATAGTCGTTAAAATTTCAGATATTTCCTTTAGCTAGCAGTAGTCCTGTTGCAGGAAAAAATGCAAAGACGTGTAACAACAAAACACGAAAAGCAACTAAATACTAGCAATAGATGTGGGGACGGTTGTATATAAAACGTAAAGGCCAAATCTGGTAAAACTGTAAGTAAGCACCGGATACATTAGCTGAAACGAAAAAGGATTGTTGATAATTTCATTCCATGGCTATCCTCATTCTAAGAGAAATGCCAACCAACGCATCTGCTAAGCCAAAATGGTGCGATCCACACACAAAGCATTATGTTACTGTCCTTCCACACTTTTAGTGATCCTAAATATGGACCAAAGATTTTTCGGCGTCAAAGACAGTCAACCGAACAATCCATCACAGTCGAATATGTACAAAGCCATTGGTTATGTTTTGCAAACTGGCTTGACTACCACATATGGCTTGCATTACCGAAAACAGCGAAAGTCCCCTGGCTATAAATATTCCCTCCGATTTGCTTTCTGTGCATTACGTTAAAAGCAAACGGTACCATAAGAACGGTGGACTGGATTCACTCATTATTTACGTGGTAACCACCTACCGGGTGGTTGAAGTCGAAGCAAGCAATGATAATCATTAGCATTTAAACCCTTACAATAGCTAACTTTGAACTACTCTCAAACAGACGACGCTTCAAAAATTTCACTCAATGATAAGTCAACCGTGGGGTTTTAGAAACTTGTGAGGTAAGGAGGAATCAGAAAGAAAAGGTCAGCATGTGATCAAAAGTTTTGAAAATAGAAAAAAACTTGCATCTAAGCGGCCTGCTGCCTCCATTTCTAGTTAAAGCCAGTTGCAGCAGTAGGACTAGGCAATCCACAATAAAATCTTGGGTGGACAAAACCATGCATGTTTTCAGTGTTAACGTTACTGCACAAACACAGCAAATGAGTTACTAGTTGCAAATCAATTTTTATTTTAAAGGATCAACCTGAATTAATCCGACCCTGTTTCAGAGAGACACACTAGAGTGCACATCCACAGACTAAGGACTGAAACATTGCAGAAGGTAGGAATTATCTCCAAGGTTTTGGTAATGAGTACTCCATTCAAAGTCACGCCTCTCAATTAGGGCTTTGCTTTTAGGGAACAAACTTAGTCCGATTTATTGCCCCCGGAATAATTTGCAGAGTTTAAATTTTGAGTGATTTTCCCAACACATTACGGAAACCAACAAATGACAGATGTTCTTTCACTATGAGTCTGCATGTTTATCTAAGATGTTCTTGTTCATCCATATTTTCATCGATAGCTTACCCCTTATTGAACGAGGAAACTTTTTGGCAAAAACTGAGTCACCCATGCGCTGAAATTTACAAGCGTTGTGCAAGAAGCAGCAAAATCATAGTAGAAACTGTGATGGCAGTTTTACGCACATGAATTCAGGCAGTCAACGTCTGTCAAACCTAGATATCGATTAAAGTTCCACTTGGTTTGTAAAGGCTTCAGCAAAATACAATAAACTATGTAAATAAATGATTACTAGAGTAAATTGCATCACACCATTAAACAGAATACAGGTTCTCACATTGTTATCAATAGAAACTGGACCATGTACAGCAAATCAAATGAGGTGCACAACAAAGAGGGATTTCAAAAGTTTTGGCTGGACAACAGGGCATATGTGAGCAAAAAAAACATATCCAATCGTCATTCTTTTAGACCCACTTGAGGGTATAAAGCCTTCAGTCTAGTGGAGCCAGCGAAAAATACCCAGACGGGCAAAACTATATGTAGGTCCCGCAAGCCGAATACTTGATAATCTGGGATTTCTTGTTCGCACCATGCGTGCAGGTGGTCCGTGTGGCATCAACGACTTTGTCGGTAAATTGTTTTCACAGCTGGTCAGTCAGAAGCCAAACCGAATTTACATGTTCATGACATTGAGCTAATTACGCATCATTCTGACGTGTAATCTGAGCCAACACAGGGAACAAAGGCTTCTGTTCCAATTAGCTACCAGCTAATTCTATCTGTCTGTCTTCATTTACATTGAAAAACATCGAAGCAGGCCGAAGATGAGTCACTTAAACGCGTAACCAATTGGAGGGAGCTCGTTTTACATCAAACCTAGCATAAATGCGGACAATTTAAAAAGGGAAAGAATAGTATACGAAAACTTCGAAACTTGTTGTATTTCAGAAATAATCAAGAAATCTCTGATTTCATTTATCCAAACCGGGTAGCAATATAATTTCAGAGCACGATCAGTTTAAAGCCTAAAGAAACAGTTAACAAATCCTGATGTGTAACTGACACAGGACATGTTTTTTGGCAAAAATAGTAAGCATACGTAGTACCGGTTTTTTCTTGATGCAAGGATGAAGCTGTTACCCAACATTTGAAAACGTTGCGCCTCTTAGCTCATGGAATATAATTCTTCTTAAATTACCAGACGTCATTCTTAACTCAGACTGTTCGGCACTTCGAAAAAATTCAGAAAAACCCATAAAGCATTGTCTGTTCTTCGCAACACTGATGAAGGATTAGGCTAGTTCTAAAGGAAATATATTCCCTGCAAAAGAGATTTTTATGAGCGCCTCGTTGGGTGTTCTACATTGTTAGGCATGGTCTCAAAGAAGGGTTACAGTAACTGTTTTCCACCTGAAAATTGTCAGCGAGACATGTGAAGTGTCCAAAAGTCAATTCTACCAGTCTATGCAGACACTGGTTTGGGGTGACAGTCCGCCACTCACTGGTGTAAATCGAACATGTCTGGCGCTGAGTATGAGTCTCAGGAATAAATGATGAACAGTCTGACTACATTTTTGTGGTCAAATAGAGATAGAAAAAATGAAACGGATCGAGAAAAAAACTGTGTAAATATCATTTTTGATTTTCTGACTCTCCAGCGTAAGTGAACGCGCATATTTGTGGAGAAAAATATGTTTAGAAACGAAATGTTCGGAACATATGTTTACAAAACAGTGGCTTTTTATGTGCAACTCTGCTATGCATGTGAAAAGAAATGGCTAAAGGTTGATTTAAACTCAGCAACGGTGGGGCAAGCGAATTTACTCCGAGTAGATTGCTGAATAAGAGAACTTATGTACCGCGATGGCGATTCTGGTCCATCGGTCCATCTTGTCTTGTAGACCGCACCCCCAAACAAAAGCTATTGGCACTATAGCTTGTTAGTGCGTGAGGATATTCAAGTCAAGTGACGCAAACTATTCCATTGTATTACTTGGAGATGACACACACTATCTGCTCAGTAAGCAAGGTAGGTACTCGTTCACACTGGCTAATTAACTACTAGGCTTTGAATGACCGAAGTCAGGTAATAACTACGCTTAGTTGGTATAACTACTGGATTGACAACACTTACTTATTTTGGTCCAGAATACCAGCATCTGACATCACATATATCACTTTGGACGATATGCTGTAATGTAGTACGACGCACCAGTGGGCGTTTCTTCCATCTATGGGTTAGACTTTGTTTTTACGTGACCGTTCTAAGTACATTCATATCTTGGAACACCAGGAATTTGGTAGGTGGTTTTGCAAATGTAACTTGAACTAATTTCCACCCAACCATTTCACCATCTGGTTCTATGGTCAAAGTGATTTTTCAAGATGAGCCATGATGAGATAAAATATTTTACCCCAGTGATCTTAAAGCAGGTGTAGGTCGATCAAGCAAATTCACCCGCACTACCTCGTGAAATTTTAGTCTAAGACAACAATGTACTATTGTTGGAAAATTGTCCTCAACCACTTGTTCAGCACCAGTGCCTGTTTTAAGCAACACGACTGTCATTTAATTACACTGCTTCCGGAAGGCGGTCACCCCCAATCTTAAAATATGAACTTTTTCAGTC